ATTATGCTTTTCTCTTAGCACAAAAGAAGAGAAACATTTGCTAATTATGACTAATTTGCTCATTTGTTTTATATAGAAAGAATGAACAGTTCATCCACAGGTTGTTAGACCTCATCTTTCTTACTCGGTTAGTCAAGCATTATTTATTTTGTTTTTGAAGCCGGCATTCTATCTTCTTTCACATTTCCAGACTGCTGGGGGATTTGGAAATGGCAGTTTCTACAGGGCCAGGCAGGACAGTGCAATTCCAGTGCTTCTTGGAAGCACCATCAGTTCTTGCCATTCTGATTCAGAAGCTTCCTATACTCATCTCTGTTTATAGTCGTCCTCATTTGTGTCCTCTTGCAGTTTTACATTAGACCAGAAGCAAACCATAGATGTTCAGGAGAATATGCTCTTGAATTCTTACTTTGAAAGGATTGCTGGTGAGTTAAGATGACCTTTTCCTCCCACATTTCTCTGTATCTTCAATTCTGATGCAAGTTGTGTTATACAGTTTTCAAACCATAAAGTATTTGTACATTCTATTTCTTAGCAATCATAAATTAGATTTTGGCCACTATCATTTTTTGTAGCCTCCTGCATTTTTCCTTACCTTTTAGTAATGAAGTCTCTTGTCTCTAGTTGATTCAAAATGAGGATCAATAAGCTAAAATATTATTTAAAAAATAGAAGAGAGCTTGTTTTTATCCCAGTGACATTACAAGTAGTCCTTGGGTTATAACCCTAATTGGGACCAGAATTTCCATTGCAAAGTGAAGTGGTCGTTAAGCAAAACATCACATGACTGCTTCTTGCTGCCACTCCACCCCTCGCCACAGCCTCTGAGCCCAGTGCCAACAAAGCCCCTGTGCTGTGAGGCTTGAGGCAGCCAGCATCAGCGAGCCCAGTGGAGGGGATGCAAAGCAATGTCAAGGAAGAAGAGGAGGAGGAGGAAGATGATGGCGCCAAGGAGGAGGACAGGGAGGAAATTCCCCTGGGGTTGGTGGTGGCAGCAGTGGGGAGGCAAAGGTGGCAGAATACAGCAGCATCTTCATCTTGGCCACACTTTGCAGGGTGGTCAAAAGGGCAGAGATGGGGTGGGAGATAGGCAGGTGGGGGGAGTTGAAGTGGAAGCAGTTCACACAGGGCAGGAGAATGTGACTGCGGGATGCTGTGACAGTTATAAAGTGGGCCAGTTGCCAAGCACCCAAATTTTGATCACATGACTGTGGGGATGTTGTGATGGTTCTAAGTGCAAGGACCAGTTGTAAGTTCATTTTTTTAGCACTGCCGTAACTTCAAATGGTTGCTGAATGAATGGTCATAACCCAAGAACTACCTATATTAACTTTCTATAGATGCCTACCGCTTCTTCCGCTGCCACTATTACCAGTCTTAATGATGGCAGCAGTAGCAAGAAAAGGTCTGATGAGAAATTCTTAATGTGGAACGGGTGGCTTCCCACATGTCCAGGACCTTAGCAGGTCACCTGACTAAGGCATCCCAGGACTGGCACATTTCCCAGGATTGATTATGCTTGATGTAACTGCACTTAAGGGATGTAAGGAAAGAAAGCCCTCTTGAGCAAACCCTCTTGTCCATGATCAGGTCTGATAAATGAAAAGAGAGGGAGAGGAGCCGGGGAATCAGCTTTCTGCAGCTCAGATTGAAACTTAGAGAACTATAATCACAGGCAAGCATTATAAGGCTGGCATTATAATCCAGGAAATTTCCAAGAAGTTGCAACACTGAGCTAATTTACCATAAAGCCTGTTTTACTGCCATTGAAGGCCATAAATAAAGCACAGTCAGGTTGTTTAAACAAAATAAATGTCGACTGCATCAGTTTGGGAAATAGAAATGCAACTGGGCGACAAGTATAGCGTATGGGAATTTAAAATACTAAATTTGTGTTAAGAAAGGGTATTGGATAATTTTGCACGTAGAAAAATGGCTGCTTTCAGAACACATATTGGAGTACTACGATGAAGGATATTCTGTCGATGGCAGCATAGAACAGCAATTTGTCTCCCTAAAAGCATTGATTGAACTTTCGGTTTACTGTCTCTGTGCTTATAAATAGTGAAGGTGAGGAAATTACTGCTTATCATGCCTCACGCCGTATAGATAATGGGAGAAATGGTAATATAAGAGGTCTATCTAATCAGCATGCTGGTACCCTCAGTGACTGGCATGCTAGGGTAACAATATATTCCAAAAAGTAGGTGAGACATGGATGGAGCAGGATAAAAACTACCATGGCTTATATTTACATGTGATTACATTAAAAACGATGCTTCATTTGGATCGAAGGTTGAGAGGGGACCTAGTTTGTGTATTTCTGCCTCATGAGAAGCCCATCCGCAGGACCTAGAGCCTTTCTTCACTATCTGCAGTGCCACTCTCATGGCTGGGAACTCCAATGTTATCCTGTCTCATCCATGATAATATTGTGTTATTCCCAAGCCATGATGTACTAAGCCTTATGCTGCTGTTTTCTGTTGGCAAAACATTCACCACTTTAAAAAAAAAAAAACATCTGGAACTCTTAAAACTGAGTTCTATTTTGCTGATCTAATATTTCTACAACTGAAAGAATTCATGCACGGTTGTTACTTTATTAATTTGTGTGTGTGTATGTGTGTGCGTGTGTGAAAGTGGGAACATAAGTTTGAAGTACAGTATTTCTGCCCCATGGGAATTTGCTCTTATTTAAAGAATTTAGATTATATTGAACTACATTGTCATTGAGCCACCCAGAGTCAGTTTGGAGTTGGGCAGCACTAAAATCAAATCAAATCAAATCAATAAAAGTTTTACCTGTGGATCCTATACCAATGGTGATTGCTAAAATATATGATATTTTTACTGTTTCAGATAAAATAAATAATCATATTTGATATTATTTATTAAAAATATGCAAAACAATGGTAATGAAATATAGCTATATAGTTAGTTACGATGGTAATTAGGACCAGAATTAAGCAATGCAGTCATAAAGCACAATGTCACATAACCACATTGCTTAGAGATGGCAGTCCTGGCACTCCCCATTGCTGTTGTTAACTGAATCCCGCTGGTCCAAGCCACTTCCGGCTTGGTCCCTTCCAGCCCTGAACCTCAGTGAGGTAAGGGACTGCCTCGTCTTCAACTCCCCCCACCTGCTCATCTTCCTCTCTCTCTGCCCTTTTGGCTCCACTGCCTCTGGCGGCCTTGCCACCCTGTGCTTTGCTTGCCCTACCATTCTGCTGGCCCTGCCAGCCTGTGCTCCACTGATCCTGCCAGCCCTGTCAGTCTTGCCACGCTGTGCTCCGCTTACCTTGCCAGCCCTTCCACTACCACCTGACCTTTGCTGACTTCCTCCCGCTGCTAATGAGGCATGCCTGGCCTGGCCCTATGTGAAGCAGCTGCTGGCCATGCCAGGCCTTCTTCCCAAGGCCACCTGTGCCATTCTTCAAATAGTGCACGCCATTCTCTAAATCGTGTGGGCCATTCTCACAATGCTTTTGAAAGACTTCAGAAAGCTTCTGAGGCCTTCTGAAGCCTTGCAAGAATGGCTTGCAAAGTTTGGAGAACAACAGGCACAGCCTTTTCATGAGATCTTAGAAGGCCTCAGAAGTCTTCCAAAGAAGCATCATGAGAACGCTGCACCCTATTTGGAGAACAGCACAAGTGGCCTTGGGAAGAAAGCCTGATGCAGCCAGCAGTTGCCTCACTTAGGGCCAGGCTGGGCACACCTCGTCAGCAGCAGGAGGAAGATGGTGAAGGTCAGCTGGGGGTGCCAGGGCTGGCAGAGTGGTAGGGCCAGCAAGATCAGGGTGGCAGGTCCAGCAAGCGCATGGCAGCAGGGGCAGATGGGGCTTTGCACTATGGTACTGGGGTGGCTCACTGTGCTGCAGGGCTTGAGGTGGCACTCCTCGGCAGCAGCACTGGGGCTGAATAGAGACCTGGGGGCAGTGATGGTCGGCTGAGACTGCCGAAGGCCCCAGGCCTCTACTTCAGCCCCAGCACCACTGCTGCTGCTGAGGAGTGCCACTGTGCAGGGCAGCCAAAAGGGCAGAGGTGGGGGGAGTTGAAGCACCCCTGCAGTCTTAAGTGCAAGCAGGCTGCCAAGCACCCAAATTTGGATCATGTGACTGCAGGGGTGTTGCAACAACCATAACTTTGGGGACCAGGCCTATGTACCACTTATTCAGTCCTGCCGTAACTTTGAACAGTTGCAAATGGTCGTAACTCAAGAACTACCTGTATGCACATCCCATCAGTTCTCTGATTTATTCTATGTAGCATTGTGTATAAATATGGCTCAAATTACATTAGCTTTTTCCTGAAAACCTTTACTAGTAGAATCTTGGTAGTAATGGTCATAGTGCTGATCCTGCCTCATGCTATCATTAAAATAATAATAATGAGAAAAAGTTCTTTGCAGAATAATATACCCAGTTTTTGAGACAGGAGGGAAATTAGGAGTCAACTATAAAATTTAGGAATAAACTATAAAAGCCGCTGTTGATATTCCCATATAATGTTAAGAACATTACATATGGAAATTTATAGAAAAATCTTAACACTATAGAGTTATATAATAGTTTACTCCTAATCCAAGCAATAGCATATAAACCATCTTAGAAAAATCAGCAAATGTGGAAGGGTTGTAATACGTGCTTCATTGCTGCAATTCACAGACCATGGTATCATAGCAGTAGAACTATTAAAAAAAGAAAGGAATTAAGATCAGGGAATTAAGCTGTTGTAGAACAATAAAAAATGACAATACATTTATAGTGGAATTATACTGATCCACATATCCAAGTTCCCAGTCTCTCAAGCCATGCAGCCTAATTCAGTTATGATACTATTACTAAAAGCTCTTTTACATTACTTTAAATATATATTGTATCCAATTCTTGCTGAAACTAGATTACGCATAACACAAGAAATCCATTAGCAGATTTCCTAAGTTAAAAAAAATAAATCAATAAAGTAGCCAAGAGGCTTTTAAATTCAATTCATGTTTAACCCACACATTTCCCTGGCTCAGAACATCCTCTGGAGCCTGCTGAGCAACACCTCACCCTCAATTATAGCACTTTAATGGGAGGTTAAGCAACTATCCTTTTTTACACAGAGATTTTTTTTTTTTTCTGTTTTAAAACTCCGGGGAGCAGTAAGCACATGCCATGTGCAACGTTGCCACTGCTGTTCTCTTCAAGATTCATGGGTATTCCTGAGATCAAATGTTAAGGAGACTCTCCTGTAATGAAATGGGAGGGTTCCGGTTGTACAAAGCAGCAGTGCAAATTATTATCTAGAGAGAGAAGCATCCATGGCAACAGATCAACCTAGAAGACAAACTGGGATTGGTGGCCTGGGGTGCATTTGTAAGGCACCTGGCAGAGAATAATGAGTGCGAGAGGGAAAGAAAGAGAAACACGTTGTAGCAACAGTTCTTGCAAAGTCAACAAAGTCCTGTGATTCTAATTGGTCAACTGGGATATATACCTTAAAGTCCTAACGTTTAGGAGCATGCTGGTATCAGAGTTTTTGTTTCTGAACACACTTGTTATTCTATAAAGGGATAAAGAAGCACTTTCCAGACCTACCCCAATACATGAAACTTCTTACTGTATTTTCTAAGTACGGCATGCTTTGTGACCCAGTCCACGAGCAGCACAATTGTGTGGATCCTTTGATAAAGGATCTTGGCAATCTTGCACACGGCCTTGGAGCATTCTGCTGGGAAATGCTCTCTTTAATTGGTGAAACAGGAGGGAAAAACATGTATTTCATAAAGATAACACCTTTTTCTTAAGCAATACGGTTACTAGTGTTTTGGATCCTATTTTCAAGCAGAGTTTGCAGATCGGAGGATCACTTATTCATCTAACCTCAGTGAATAAACCAATGCAGTAGGATGATGCAATTCAATATGATGTCATCAGTCCATGCATAATCAGTGTGGTTCAGAAAATTTGCAGAAGATTCCAGCCTAGCTGTACTACCCCAGATTGCCATGAGAATATGTTCTGTACCTCTGTTTTCTCTCTTCTAGAACTTTTCTCTGAATACTGTAGAAGCTTTCCTTAAGACACATAATCTGAGACTTGACTGCATCTCTGTTCAGGCCCATTAGATGTTGCATAAAACTAGGTAGCCCTGCTTACCAAGTACCCGATTTCTTGTTTCTAAATTTAATATGAAATGCAGTAAATTAGTTTAAGGGCAAATTAGTGAAGAGGAATTTAGGTTGGGATTAATGTATGCATATTTAGATAAGGGCTAAACAAATCTTAAAACATTCTGTTATTAGCAAAGATGAAGTCTCTTTCCTGTTATGTTTTGTAGCCTTAACCATAAGCGATGCATCATTCAGTAATAGCAAATCTTCCTGGATGTCATTTGAGCCCTTCAACATTCGACACGAGGTTCATATCCAGTTGCAATTCCAGACGTTTTCAGGAAATGGCATCTTGTTTTACACTGCTCAGCACCTGAGCCCACGATCAGGTCAGGCTTTCATTATGCTATCATGTGATATGAAAAAATGGTCACATGAAATAATACCTAATTTGATTAGAGTGTTTCATGGTTTTGCATGAGATGAAATCATCATCATCATCATCATCGTATATGACTAATTTGCCCGTGGTACACTAAAAACTGCACTCAAGTCATCTGTGACCATTATAGTTAAGGCAGTATTAGGAGGGTCTGGAAGCAGCAGACCAAGGGTGCTTCCAGACAGGCAGCTCCCAACATAGTCAGTAGCTCAGAGAAGCACGCATAATAATTTTCCATATTTCAGAAAGAATCCTATTTCTGGGCAGTTGATGTCACTCTGTCCCATCCAAAGGGTGTGACATTGCCATATTTTCTGGGCCTTTTATCTGCTCCCATAATCTCTGTTCATTTCAGAAACTTCCGCTTGAAATACTTCCTGATACTGTTTCAAAAGGATACAGCAGGGAAGGAGAACCTCCAGTTTGCAGGCCTATTCCAGCTTTCCAGGCCAACTCAAGTGGCCGGTGGGGCAACGAGCAAAGCCGCTGTCCCCTTTGGCCTACAACCCCATCAAGCTTCACTCATGCCTCAGTCCTGGAAGGATGAAAGAAACCAGACAGTTATTTGTTCTCTGATGCAGCCAGTTATTTGTTCTCAACACTGAAATGGCTTCTCAAATTCAATTCCATTGCCATTTTTGCCATACTTTTCATCTCAGCCCCTATTGCCATTTTTCTACTGTGCACTTGCTGTATTGGTTTTTAATTTGTGCAAACGCTTCTATGCTTCTGAAATAAAAGTAATATTTGCTTGTGGTTTTTTACCAGTATAAATAGTGGAGGTTTAAAGATAAGATCATGGAATGTATTCTCTTTGCTTCTGAACTCTGAAAGGAAAACCAAGGACAATAGAAAAGAAGATTTTAAAAGCATAAAGATTTGTCTGGGTAAAAAGATGGGGAACAGGGGCTTTGTTCAGTCAGGTGCCCTTTCCCATAGACTTCTTTCAAGGCTCTACGCTGCTACATTGGCATGAACTGA